ACCAGAGATTTGCAGAGAACAGGTTGCCGTGGAAACAGCAGAGAGCAAAAGTGCAGCCTTTAGTGTGACCCTGCACTGTTATGTTTAATTGTCTAAGGCAGGGGTGTCCAAAGTTTTTGCAAAGGGAGCCAGATTTGGTGTGTTAAAAACATAGGGGGGCCAACCTTGGCGGACGTTCTTTACATATAACAGCAATTAATTTAAATACATTTCAGCGAGCTGTTGTGTGTTTCACATTTGCTTTTTTATTTTAATTTCGGCCATCTTAAGCATATGTTTTGGTTCATTTGAAACATACATATCAAAATTCAATTGACATTGAAAATTGAAATTAAATATTCATTTAACTTCACTTTTTTAACACTTTAACATTTTTGTAACAGTTGAAGAGAAGTAATTGTACTCTTGGGTGCAAATTACATTTGAAACATAAAAAAAATCTCAAAATGGGAGTTTAATATTTACAGAATTTTTAAACACAATAACAGAGAAATTGTCATATCAACAAGTGCAGGGCTCATTTAAAATATGACAGTAACTATAAATGTTGATTGGCACACCTCTTTCTCGCTTGGCGACCCGGGGACAGGACGCACGGTGATGATGTGCGCACTAGCGGTGTAGCTAGTGCGCACCTTACAGTCCAACCCTACATGCTTTCACTCCAGAATAATAAACAATAAACATAACCCCCCCGACTTCGGTTTTTCAGACTTAGGTCAATGAAAAATGATGACTTGTCCGCATTAGTGTGATGGGTGAAACTCACTTACTTTGTTACTTATTAGTGTTGCTAACCCGCTTTGTTTGCCAGTCATCTAATTATCCCAGAAATTTTATTCCACGGGAGTTTCATGTTAACCACGGCAGCGCAAACAGAAGAGAATAAATCTGTTCCTCGTTTGGTTTTTCAGGCTCTGTAAGTCAAGTAGTTCTTCAGTAATATTCATTTCGTTGTCCACTCCTCTCAAAAAATAAGTAACTGAGCAGTGTCAGAGGCGTCTGTGCTTTCGTCGCAAGCTAGTGAAAAAAAGTCAAACTCCTTTCCTCTGATTCCCAATTGTCTTTTGATATCCGATGACACTTCTTCAATCCTGCGCGCCACAGTGTTACGTGCCAGGCAGACTTTGGCAAACTCTTGCTGCTTCTCAGGACAGATATTTTTTACCACTGTCATCACACAGTCTTTGATAAATTCACCCTCGGTGAAAGGTTTGCAATGCTTTGCGATCAGCGCTGCTACCTCGTAACTAGCCTTTGTAGCATTCTCGTTTGACTCTCGAGCTTTTGTAAAATATTGCTGCTGTGAGATTAAGCTAGCTTCAAGGTGTTTCAGTTTCTCGCTGCGTTCATTACCTGTGATCTTGTCATATGCCTCAGCATGTTTTGTTTGATAATGTCGCTTCACATTGAACTCTTTAAAAACAGCCACTGTCTCTTTACAAATGAGGCAGACACAGTTGTTACGTATTTCAATGAAGAAATAGTCCAATTTCCACCCATCTTTGAACCGTCGGCCCTCGCAGTCAACTTTCCTCCTTTTGCTAATTGCCGCCATTTTAGAAAATTGGGGGCCTCACATACTAATTTGCTGTTCCTATTTGAGCCTCTAGATGTCAGCACTTAGAACACAGCGCTGCTGCCCAATGTATTACACGCGGGCCAGGCTTTATTGATTCTATGACGGAGGCTGCGAGCCGGATGAAAATTGACCACGGGCCGCATTTGGCCCCCGGGCCGGACTTTGGACATGTCTGGTCTAAGGCATGCTCTTGTTTGCCTGAAAGACAGAGAGAAAGAAAGAGAGAGAGAGAAAAGTAAGTTAATTTGTCTCAATGTGAAACTATTGCTAAGATTTTTTTTTCGTTTACCTTTTCAACATGTTATTCGCATTGATTTTTATATAATTATTGATGTCTTCCCACAACTCAGTTTATTTGAATGATCTTCTCACGCTCAACTGCTGTTTTGTAAATTTACATCAAGTTAAATAATTGACTGAATTTTGTATTCAAAAGATTTTTTCTGTACTTGCATTTCTTTATCAACATCTGGATATTAATGTCACCCATGCAGTACTCTCTGTAGGTTTTCAGTAAGTTGCTTACTCGTTGATGGAGATAAAGTTTTTTTCTACATATTTATTAAAACTGTCACCATGTTGTGACATTAATATAAGACAGTTAATCTTTGAAAGAATTAAGCTCCTAAAGCATTCTTTCTATATGTGACAGGATTCAGAGTTTAACACAAATATATTGTGGTTATATTCAATACTTTTTAAAGCATATGTCTTTTAACAGGGAGCCATTTAAAAAAGCTGTGAGGCAGTAAGGAGCGACTTCAAATGTCAGCACCTGTGGGGAGAAACTTGCATGGAATATAAATAATTAGATTAGATGAAACAGTATTGATTCCTGGCAGGAAACTGCTTCTGCAACAAAGGCAATATGGTTTAGTAAGAGAAAATAAGAAACTAGAAACAAAGGTAATATAAGAAGAATAAAATACAAAATAAAAATAGAAATACACCAACCAAACAGTTAACAAATTTAAAGAACATCAAGTGTTCTTTAATTTAATGTTAAGACAATTATTTTGATCGTCCTAACTGTGTAAAGAATGATGAATGTGAAGAAACTATTTTTGAAGATATGTCAAGTATTCCTAGTGAAGTGTCCACTGCCACTGAGAGATTGATCGTAAATAATTCTTGTGGCCCAGACTAGACGTCTGTACTGCCACTTTTGTTCTTTTCTGGATTTCTGATTGACACTCTGCCTCACACCTTGTAATATGTAATATAAAGACAGCAGTCTTTCATCTTGATCCTTGTTATTAAAGACATAAGTGGTAAAACTCAGTTCAGAAAGCCACAATTGAATTATGTTTATTTGTATAGTACCAGTTCACAGCATGTGATCTCAATGCACATTACAAAAAAAGGTCCATTTAATTCATGAAACACATATTCAAGTTATTAAACAATGAAGACAAGTTCAGTTTATTTAAATTGATTTAAACATTTTTATCTAAGAAAACCTATAGACTGAATTGAGTCATTGAGTTGTAGCATTCATTCCTACTGGATGACCATCTAGTGACAGTGCATTGTGTCACTGACTTTGAATCAAAACCCTGATGGAAAGGAAAACTCCCCTTTTTACAGGAAGAAAACTCCATCAGAACCCGGCTCAGTGTGAATGACCATTTGCCAGGATCGACTGGGGTCTGAGTAGAAACAGAAAAAAAGAAACCAAAGTTTCTTTTATAACTTCTATAATGAGTAAATAAACTGAGAGAAAGTTGCAGAATTGCCAGACAAGTGGTCAGTTTTTCCTCCAGGAGTCTAAGCCAATAGCAATATAGAGATAGCTCACGATAAACTCATTCTAATTATAATCTTTATCAAAAAGAAACATCTTAAGCCTAGTCTTTAAAGCAGACAGTGAATTGTAAAAGCCAATATACCATCTAAAGTCTTTAAACAAGTTACCTTGTTCAGGATTGCATATTTAAAGAGAGCGCAGATCTGTGAATTTACACTGGAGGAAGTTGTAAGTTACCACAGATAGCATACAAGTTAATGAGCCTTCTAGCTTAAGCCTTCAATTGAGTCAATCATAGGAATTTGTTTGGGTTTTTTGTCACTAATCAGATTCAGCATAGAGGTATGCTAACACTTATTTTATTTAATTTCCACGTGGATTATCAGACTGTTAAACTGCTTGTAAAGTGGGAGGCCATGCGATCGTTCCTCTCAAACATGCTGAAGATTTAGTGCTCTTGTAACCTTACAGTGCAGATCTGCAACAGTTGCTTAGAGTGTGTCCTACAAAGTGCAGAAAAACTTCAGGTTCAGCTCTGGAAAGAGTACTGCCATGACTGCTTAGAAGAAGACTGGAGGTAAACGTTTCCTTCCTTTTATTTTCCGATCCGTTTCTAAGGATGCACATAAAGAGAAGTAACAGAAAATCTATCATATCGATTCACTTTATAGAGCGAATCTATGATTTAACTAAGTGATTATAAAAAGGCTTTAGGACACTAAAGTCAATGTTTTGGCATGACCATCACAAAGCCTTGATCTTAAATTAGTGGCATGTGTGAGCAAAGCAGCCAATAAACCTGACTTAGTTCCAGCAGTTCTCTCAGGTGAATTGGGCCAGAATTTCCAGCAAACTATTGTGTAGGGAAACAAAAATGTTGACCCAAATTATACAGTTAAAAGGGAATGCTACTAAATGCTGAGAAAATGTATGTAAGCGTAAAATTTTGAAGACTTTAGTCAATAAATTGTTCCATTATCATGGAATTTCTAAAGTAAAAATAATTTATCTAGCTATCTGTCTGTCTGTCTGTCTGTCTGTCTGTCTGTCTGTCTGTCTGTCTGTCTGTCTGTCTATCTATCTATCTATCTATCTATCTATCTATCTATCTATCTATCTATCTATCTATCTATCTATCTATCTATCTATCTATCTATCTATCTATCTATCTATTTGGACTGGAAATAATTTAGAGGAATAAACACAAAGTGCTGCTTTGTATGTATAATGTCGTGACAACTATTCGAAATTTGTGTTTTATAAATAACTGAGTTAACCTAAACTTGTTCTTAAGTTGTTATAATTTTATAAAGATGTAGATTTTTTACATGTAAAATAGGTGCAATATCAGATTTAACAACCTTCTGACGCTGTCCGTTACCTACAGTGCTGAAGCCGTTAGTTTCGCGAATCATTCCATTATGTGATTTTAGACTGTTTTACTTTAATAACACTGTTTTTAAAAGTTTTGGATAAAACAACACGAGAGGGAAACGTAGACCAGGCTCACACAAGTGGTCTAGTCGAGTTAGTTTGAGGCCAAACTGCTAGTTTTCCTCACCGGCTCACTCCAGTCAGAGAGAGCGTGGTGTTGCATTTCCCCCGCTTCAGTCACTGCTACTCAAATTCTTCAACTCTCGTTAGGCAATATCCTTACGCCCGCAGAGCTGTTAAATGTTACAGTACGTCGTGGGCGTAAAGGCTCCTTGTAATGGCGACCGTGCCGTAGATGTGCCTAGGTTTGTGAAAATGAAGCGGAGAAGAAGTTATTTCTTTTAAGTAAAACGCCGAGGTTCCCCGGAGGAGGACTTTGCGTCGATAACCATCATCTTCATACGTGGTAAACAAAGCTGTACTTTTATACTTTTGTGCTCCCGAAATGATGAAGCTCAAGTCCAACCAAACCCGGACGTACGACGGGGATGGCTACAAGAAGCGGGCAGCCTGTCTGTGCTTCAGGAGTGAGTCGGAGGAGGAGGTGAGCTCGGGGATGTTGCTGCTTGATAGGCCATGCTAACACTAGCAGCAGGGGGTGTCTTCAGTATCTTACGTATCTGTAAATCGATACATTTATTAACATGGTCACCATTTTAGTCACTATTCAGCTTAATTCCAAAGACTCTTTTGACTCTGTCTGTATGTATATTGAAAGTTAGTTTGTAGCCCTTCCTTATGCTAGTGTTATATAATCCTCTTTAGCTTTAGAAATGGAAACCCGTAGCATGGAGTTAGCTTCGTGCTAATGCTAGTTCTAGCATGCTAATTAGCGCTGCTGCTGCTCCGGGGAGCCAGCTGTCAGCCAGCAGCCACAACCTCATCAAAGGAGTATTTGCTTTATTACTATGGGTCTCATGACAATTAAAATATGTATATTTCATGGACTGACTAAAATATTGATGTAATTAAAAAAGCTATGTTAAGTATATTATTGTGATGGCTAAAACAATTTGGGTGTTTTATCCCACCCATGGTATGTTGTTGGAATAGTTTAAGCTATAAGATCGCCTTGTATTGGTCAATTTGTTTCACATGTCGATGTTCTTTTGTGAGATAAACTATAAGATCTTGAGTTTAAAGCATTGGACAATGAGAAGGCATAAATTGACAACTTTTGCATTATTTTATTTTGTTGAGAGTTAACAATGACTACTTTGATGTTTAAACTATTTAAGAAACTTGTATGCCTTCACCACTCAAGCACAGAGGTGTCTTTGTAAGGAAAACAAGACCAAAAGACAAAATAAGACTAAATCAGTTCCTCATGCCGGTCAAAGTAAAGGCCAGACTGTGAACAACATATGCCTCATTAATTTCAGGAAATGCATAATTTCCTGAAATTAACACACAAATGTTTCCCAGGAACAGTAGTTTACCTGGTTGGCTTGTATGCCAAAAGAAAATCCTTGTCTTTTGGCATACAATTAAATATAGATAATTAATTTCCTCTGCATACTGATCCATCTGTGGCACCTGGCACAGTCACCTAAATAATAGAAGGATTACATTTAGCATCTTGATTGGAGGGTTTTTAGGAAATTCTATATCTTCTGTAGTGCAAAGATAAGTAAAACAAACAAACACAAAAAAAGAAATTGTGTGGGATTCATTCCAGGTGCTGTTAGTGAGCAGCAGTCGACATCCTGATAAGTGGATTGTTCCTGGAGGAGGAATGGAGCCTGAAGAAGAGCCTAATGTTGCCGCAGCTCGAGAAGTGTGTGAAGAGGTCAGTTCAGTTTTTTAAATCTCGTTTAATAGCCTTAGTCTTCACCTTTTCATATTTGTGTTTTAACAGGTGTTATAAATCACCCAAAAGTAGAATATTTGTTACAAGTCTTAAAATTTCTGATGAACAAATACAAAACCTGTCTTTCTTTGTGTCAACTAAAGACAAAAATGTTATTTTAAAAACAGCTTTCCATTTTCGATGTGACAAATTAGTCTTGAGTCAAGTGTAGGCTCAGAGGAGTGTTGTATTACAACTATGCCTGTGTTTAAAACTAGGAAATCGGCCTTGCTCTCAGAATCTTTTTTGTTAATGCAGTCATCCTGTTTGCACAACCAGAGAGACTGGGAGCCTGGCAACATGTAAGCAGTATCATAGCATCATGTTTCAAGGCAGTGTTGTGGTGCCATAAGGGTCACACTGAGATTAAATGCTAGCTGCACTAGCACTGTACCCTCCCAAAAATAGAAAAAAAAAGAAAAAAAAAAGATTACAATTTTTGAGAAGTTTTTAATTCTGCCTCTCAAATAACAAAATGTTGCAGTTTTTAATAATTCTTTGGAGAATTTAGTGAAAATTACTAAACTAAAATTATGCTAATACAATTTATAAACTTATCATTCATGGGTGTGGGTGTTTGTGTGTGTTCCATTCATTTTCCTGGACATTTATTAGAAGACTTAGAATTTCTCTCAGCATTTAGCTCATGCCGGGCCCATGACATGTAAAGCCTGCTCTTTTTGTGTGATCCATCACAATGATGGATGCTGATATAATCTCTTATCCTGGCTCTCATAGTGGCTGCCGGACACACAGGCTGACACTGCTTGTTGCCAGCACATTTTCATTGACTCAAAGTATCTAGCCACTATTTGGGGTTATTTCAGCGCTTAAAGCAATCACCCAGAAATATATAGTCATATTTTTAGCCTTTTTTTGGATGCTGGTGTAATTCTAATCCTTGTGATCTCATTGCTTGTGCTTTCTCACCTGGAATGTTGCCAGATACTATTCAGGACCAAATCGCAGCCCAGATGTTACTCCGGCTTCATTTGTCTATTTACCGGCTCCTGGCCTGACCTTATTCTGTTGTCAGTGATACGCCCCAATCCTGCACCATTAGGACACATTGCATAACCGTAATGCAGCCTCAGTGCTGTCCATCCTCTTCCAAGATGATGCCCTGTAGTTTTCAGTTACACAAATGCCTGAGCTGGGAGACATTTTCCACTTCATAAAAAACACACAGGCTGACCTTTGCCCTATTACTTAATTCCTGGCATTGTTTATGAGTTTCTTTTGATGGGTCTGTTCTTTTCCATCAAAACCAGTTGAAGACTTGAGAAGTGTAAAACAGAGGCCGTGGCGCAGTATGTGGAGTCCAACGTTTATTTATAGAGTGAAACTGGAAGCTGAAGAAGCTTCAAAGATGTCAGCAAGCGGCCCAGCTCTGTATTTGAACCTCTCTAACTATTCACCTGGGAGTTTAGATGTTGGACGTATTTTTTATATTATAGTAAGCTTGAATATTATGTTGAAGTTTCTGTATCTGGTGAAAGGAGGTTTGCTTAGTTGTAATATTGAGAGGGAAATAGAAATATCTAACAACAAAGAATTTATTATGTCTATATTTTGACCTTTTTATACAATCTCATTACTTTAGAAAGGTTTTTGTCAGAGGAGCTGCTTGCATAACAGCATCAACTGAACAGGCTTGTTTTATGTCCTTGCTGCTTTTTAAACAAATAGCTAAATTGATTTGTGAGGCAGTAGAAATGTATCTGTTAGGTCATTCAGTATTATGTGATTGGTTAAACTAAAACTAAATCACAAAAGGTTGTGATTTCCATTTCATACATTTTTACAGAAGCTTGTGGAAAACCATTATTTTAAGTTTGACATCCAACTTTCAGCTGATTTCCTATTTTGACATTCCGACCTGGTGTTTGCTTTGTTCAGTCATCGCAGAAAAGTGATCATACATAATCAGAACATGGCTTTTATTCTGCATTTGTTATTTAGAGGACTGACCACACACACAATGAAAAAGTGAATCTGCAGTGTGAAAACAGTCTTATGTAACATAATCCACTGCAACACAAACTAGTTTCAAAATTACCATACAAATTACATCAGCCCTCTAAATCCAGCTCAACAAAACTCACCAAAGTTCAGATGCAATATTTATTTTTGGTTTATCTGGCTACATTATTTTGAATTGTCCTGTTTTTAATTGTATTCATTTTATCAGAACAACCCTTAATCCTCTTTTGTGGTTTAATTAACATGGTATTATTTTCTAACCTTTTCCTTCATCTTGCAGGCGGGTGTGAAGGGAACCTTAGGTCGCTTAGTTGGAATATTTGAGGCAAGTTTTCTTCTGCTTTCATGTGAAATTTTTTTTTTTTTGTTTGTTTTTCCACATTTTAAAATCTCAACCAAGTGGCTTGTGTGTGATTGCAACGTAAAGATCCAAATTTGTAATTTTCTCCCTCAGAACAAGGAGAGGAAACACAGAACCTACGTGTATGTTCTAATTGTAACAGAAGTACTGGAGGACTGGGAAGACTCGGTCAACATTGGTAAAGCACTTTGTTCAGTGGTCAAAACAAGAATCACATGCAGTCACATGCTTCTCTGCGGCTTTGTTGTTGTTTTTCCTTTCAGAACTCAGTCTCGGTCGTATTGCATTTCAAGGATCAGCCCTTGTGATTTTTTTACACAAACTCTCTATAGTCCTGATCATTTGTCCAATTTATTTTTTATTTTGTTTTCTGTATCAATTGTTCTCTCTGGGTGAACTGTATCTACCACTAATGTTTCTTTTTTTGTCTACAGGGAGGAAAAGGGAATGGTTTAAAATAGACGATGCCATACAAGTGTTGCAGTGTCACAAGCCCGTGCAGGCCACCTACTTCGAGGCTCTCCAGGAGAGTTGCCTGACCAGTAATGGAACGCCACTGGTGACCACAATAGGCGAGGACCTCTCACCAACCTACAACATGAATCAGAGCTCCGTCTCGGGTATCAGATAACTAGAACCACAACTCTGATTTCCCTCTGGAGCTTTTGCCACCACTTGCGCTCTTACTTGTGTCACTTCTTTTCTTCTCTTGTTTTTTTTTTTTTTTTTTTTTTTTTTTCAGTAACATGGTTTGCCTTGCCAACTCCTTTGTGCCAGAATTGTGGCACAGACTTGATGACAAGTGTTGGGTGAATAGACTGAAACACTTTGTAAATGTAATTAAATGTAATTTTTGATCCGTTTTTTTTCCCTCTTTTTACAGAAAATGCATGAAGTATCCCTTTTCCCTCTCCTTATGCACCCTTAGTGTGGTGTTAAATGAATGCAAGAACTACTTTTTACTGTTGTAATGTAAAAGTGTATGCGTAGTGCTTAAGCTGAAGGCTTTTTGGTGGTCTTTTTAATGTCTTCTCCATTATTTTGGTTGTTTTCTGTGACTTAATGTGCCCATAAATGTACTCCCTCCCTTGTTGTAAGGATAGGAAATAGTGTCTGTATCTGAAACAAACAGGTTTGTGGGAAACGTCTTGCATGAACACCATTAATGTCGCCTCGCTCACGTGAGTGACCTGATGCTGATTGTGCGACAGATTTGTGGCAAGGTCTGTGGCTTTTCTCCATGTTCTCCTAACTGTGTTTATTATTATTTTTTTAATTTTAAGCTCAGCTTTTTAGCACAGCCCCTGAGTAGTTCTTCAGTTTTGATAGACTTTCAAGTGTCAACTGTGTTTCTCTTTTATTTGGGAAGCTAGCCAAGCACTACAGGTTTCACCCTCAAGTTGAGAGAATACAGTAAACTGTACAAAAAGTGGAAGAATGTCAACTTATAATGTAAAAAGGATCCCTTCTTCTCCTTAATGTCTTTACCTCATTTTAATCCTTTTTTCCTATTCTAAAATTGTCTTGTGATGACAAAGTCTTCCTCCACATACTTAGAGGGTGAAAGTAGGTTTAAAGAATTTTTTCAGAATTCAGCACATATCACTTAAGTTATTATAACCCATGTTCATATCTTACTCCTCACATTCAGTTTGGTTGAGAAACAATTGTTTACATTGCATTTGTACCATAGCACAGATGACTTTAGTGGGCACTTTCATTACGTACATGGCTTTTTGTCATTTGCTTTTTTTAACCCTTATTTTTGTTAGCATTTCAACTTCATCCCCAGAAAAACTCAGAACACCTGATTGATTTCAAAAGTAATGGATCTGTAATATTGTTTTCGGCAAAGGCGCAGAACAAACAAGCCTTGTACAGTTTGAGAACTCATTTTTACTTGTAAAATGCTTTTGGATACTTTTTCTTCCTCTCTTTTGGTTTCTCTTCTCTAACTCATCTGGCGACTCTCTTTAGCCGAGCTGTGTCACATGACCTTGATGCGTCGTGTGGCTGCAGGCTCAATACTGTGAAACTGGAGGCGCTGTAGATAGCATGCAAGAGGTTTTTATTGTAAATTGTTTATTTCTGTATAGATCAAAGGTGAAGAGTACAAATGACAAAACACCTCTTACACATTTGTGAGTGCTATGTGTCATTTCAGCTGGGGCTGGAAAACTGAAAACTTCTTATGTTGGCTTTGGAGCTGTTTAGATCTTTTCTGTGTTGAGGTGGCAAACAGTACATCTGAGACTAAAGAACAAGGAATGTGGTTGTGAGATATGAGCCTTTTAAATCATTTCAAAATATATAAAATCCCTTCCAATTCTTAGCTGTTAGGGTTTACTCATTATTTTCTTTGGTTCAAGTTGAAACAAAATTGTTGCCATTGAAGTTTCCAAACTGGCACTTGGTTAAAAGATTAGCAAGTCTGTAATCTATGTATTTTTCTGTAGAGGGTTTCATTCATTGCAAAAAAAATGTATATAAATTACAAATTAGAGACAGATCAATGTTTGTGTTTTTACATATGAGGTAAACTCATCAATAAGCTCGTTTGAGGTAATTCTGTGTAGCTTAATTTCGATCATGCTTACTTTCCTATCAAATACAATGTTTAATGCCTTAGTTCATCTCTTAAAGACAGGTAAGTACATCTTATCTATTAATATGGCCAAGAAATAATAGCACTAAGTGAAATCTGATTGTGAAACCCCTTACAGAATTGTATATTGAGAACTGAAGCTTCATAAAAAATGTCAAAGAAAATGCAGCAGAGCAGCATGTTCAGTGCTGATCGAAATGTATTCCTACTTGGGTCGACGGTCTCCTGCCTGAGACTTTGAGCGGGTTTTATTGTTGTGCATTTGCAGGGTGTGGTGGCTAAAGTCTTGCTTTATGATTCTCTACCTGGCAAAAGATATATTTGACCATTTATGTAAATGTGCTATAATCTTAAAAGTCAGTAATTGGCTGGGATTGAATTTGTTCATTTGGTTAAGTTTTAATGATGGGTACTGTCAAAATGAATGTGAGGAGGATTTCCATAAGTAACAGCCAACAATGTAATTATTAATGACCTTGTTTCTAATCATCACCTAACGCAGTTGTCTGTGATGAGCTTATGCCTTGTACATAGGTAGAACAACCTTAAAACTAGAGGAAGAACTTCGGCTGTGGTTAATTAGAATTACCGTTCCTTAGAAAATTTCAGACTATTCTGATCAGAGGTAATTAAGTCTTTAAATACAAAACTGATATAAATTCCACATTGGTAATTATGGCATAAATTATCCATTTCCTTTTCATGGGCTCTATTTTTACTGAAGCAAAATAAGAGCATGTTTGTTACACAACTGAATCTTGAAATGTTTCAAAATGACTTCGAAGCTTGAAGCTTGTCTGCTATGCCAGTGTAGCAGCTCTGTAACAGCTCCATCTTGTGGCCATGGCAGAAGTTTTAAAAGCACATTTCAACAGCTGAGGCTTGTAAACATTCAGTTTCCTATATCAGCTGATTGACTGCAAAACATTTTTTATCTAGTTAAATTAGGGAAACAAAAACCACAGACCCCTAAAATACTTGCAAGTGAATTACAAACATGTTCACTTCTAGCGACGGAGTTTGGCCTGGAAGTTACATACTTGTAAACATCTCATGTCACTAGAATATTGTTTTCCTATTTTGTCATTTGGGACTGTGTAATAAAACGAGAGCAAGACTGAAGATTGTAATATAAATGTGCCAACAAATAAACACCAGTATTTCAATTTCTGTGAAGTGTGTTTGTCTCAAGAAAGATTTCTACTTCAGTTTAAACATACTGTAGAGCCCATATTGAAAGATTAAAAACTACTTTTAAAGTAGATGTAAAACTGTTAAAAATGGGAATCTTGTAACAGGAAAAAAAGCAAAACAGGTTTGAGGTGAAAAACTTTCCAATCCTACTGAACCATTCTGCGTATTTGTCTAACAAGCACATCATTGACCACAACTAAAATATAAACATTTCTAAAGCCTTCAACTCGTATACAAGTATCCATCTAATTTCAAGTTAAACTCTTCTGGACTTTGACAGTTTAAAAGGCAGAGTAGTGCTGGCAAAAATATTGGCTTCAAAAGCACTTTTAGTGAATAATAAATTTAACAAATTGGCTCCTTTGGGCCTTCTGTGTTCTGGATAAGTGATCATTTTGAGGTACAGCTGGACTTTTTAACTGGAGCCCGTTATTCTTTCAGAAAACTTATTTGTGCCATTCAATCTGGAGGCTTAGGATGCATATGTAAGTGAATCAAGGGAAATCTGTTGCAACTAAGCAGTTGATTTAAATATTATGCTTGAGTGATGTCACCAGACATTAGGTCAACAAATTAGTTTTACTTGGTCATAATGTACGAGTGAAAACAGACAAAACTTGGATTTTGATTCTTTATTTGTAATAAACAGTGAAATTTACTGAGGCTGCTGTCCTCTGCCGCGTCCAAAGCCACCTCTCTGTAACAGAGAAGTTCAGTCAATCGAAACAATCAATTTTACTGAAGCCACAATGTTTCAGCTGAGACTTAAAATTCCTGAACAAAACCTGAAAGCACTTACAAACTGGAACTCTGTAGCAGCTCCAGCGCCAGCCTCCGCCTTCTTGTCAGCACCAGCTGAGGAGAAAAAGGTCAAAATTAAATCTATATATTCAAAACCTTGCCATCATTCCACAGGTCCCTTTGTTACTTTTTCACATATTTGACAAACTGGAAAAAAGTGCCTTGCAACACTATTTCTTAATCTTAGAGAAAATTACTTCTATTGAATAAATAACAGAAATCAAGCCATTACAGCTCACTTTCCAGTTACTGAAAGTGAGCTGAAACATTTAAGTTGGATTTTTTAATTTTAAAACAAAGTCTGAGTGCTGTATTTTTTTAGAGATAATGATTGAATTGGAAATATCTCAACTAAATTTAACACCAAAGATCATAGACAGCAAAAAACCCAAAAATGTTTAACCAGTGGTATACATACGGGGTGCAGCAGATCGCCTGTATGCGTCTCTGTCAGCCTCGCCACGGTTGAGGCGGGCGGGTCTCTCTCCCTCCATACCTACACAAAGAAAAAAACACACAGAAGAAGAATATTTACATCCAAATCTACTATAAGATTTGGATCCAATAACTAATAGGTCAGCATGGACACAATTTGGTCTTTGGTATTTACAGTTAACTTGTGAAGATTTTTAAATATGTTACTCAGATGTAATAGCTAAAAAAAAAAAAAAAAGTAAAGAGATCACATTATGACTTCTGTGTGAAGTCATAATGAACTCAGTTGTTCAGAGTTGGAAATGGTTGTTGAGGAAAAAAAAGTATTTCCATTTCCTCAAAATTTGGATTTAAAATTGATCAAATATTAGCAAACAGGATTTACGATGTAGATGCCTAAAGTTACTTTCTACATAAGACCCTGCTCTGTAATTGTTTGTTAAACTATGGCAGTTTTCTGTTTCCAACATAATTATAAAAAGAGTTAAATGCTTCCAATTACACCAAATTACCTCAAAATCTAAGTATTTGAACTTTGACACACAACATTAAAAGAAGCTTTACATCTGATTCCTTATTAAAACTTTTTAGCACCTGCATGAACACTACATAGAGGTGCATGTAGCTTAAGACACTCCAGTGTACATTTTTATAAGCATGAATC